ATGATTCTACTACACAGTTAAACATTCTCTGTGTGTATGCACACAGGTATCTTGCTACCATTCATTTGAGGGGGTGCATTTTGAAAGGTCTGGCCATGCAGAGGTTTCTGGTGCTGTCGGAGGTCACTTCCCTATATCCTGTTTTTTCCAGCTAAATCCAGCATTAAGATGGGGAATGCTTCAGGAGATGCCTGTATGATTAGCAGGGTGAAACTCCAGTGTGAGTGCAAAGGTCCCTGTGTAGGTAAATCTCAGCCACAAATAAACTGTTAATAAACTTAGACCTGGGAGGTCACTTGAGACTCATTGCTTTCCTGCTCTGGCTTATTCATTATTCAAATGGTGCTAAATTGCTTTAAAAAAAGAGAAAATAACAAGTCTCACAAGTTATGACTCAGTTGAACTTGATGGCAGGGTATAATATCCAGAATATCCTGGTGTTATCAAGCACAAAGTTAATTGCCTTAATGAAGCACACTAAACCCTCCTCTGTTTAATGAAACCTCATCAGAAGTGCAGCAATTACCTGCTTTGTGAGTGAGAGGATGCTTGTGAAGATCTGATACTGATGTGTGGACTTTAAGAAGGAGAACAACTCTGACTCCTACCTGAAATAGTTATTCAGATTACTAATACAGGGTCATTTCTGACCAAAAAACAGGGGCTGTGTGTCTTGTTCCCCCGTTCTCTCCTGCTCAACCCAATATTGGAGCATGCTTGTCTCTTCAGGAAGGCTGTTCAGGCCCTTCTGTCAACAGGAGGAGTGCAGCAAGTCCCAGGTTTTGCTGCCTTCTTGTTTTCTTACAACATCTTGCAGCTCCTGCACGGAGACAGGGAGGATTGCTGCTTTATTGACGTGGCTCCGGCAGCAGGATTTGGCCAGGGCTCTTGTTGCAGAGGCCGTGGTTCACCACATAACGTTCCGTTGTGGAAAGGTGCTGCCACACCTTTAGAGCTGAGGTTTCTCTGGGTGCTTTTTTTAAAGCTCCCGTGACTTGGGCTTAACAACAACAACAAAAACAACCCCACTTGTGGATTGAGGAGGAATTTCATTGCCCAGGATGCTAAAATCCCATACCAGAGCGGGGTTCATGTTCTGCTTGTGCTCGAGGAGGCTGATGCTTTCAAATGGAGGAGGATGGGGGAATGCCCACACTTGAGCTTGGTTGCTCTCAGTTGTTTCAGGCAAGTGTAGTGCTTTCTGATGACAAATCCTTCTGTAAAAGGAACTGACTAAATCTGTCCTGTGCAACCTGGTGGGTTGGGTGCTGGGGGGACAGCTTTGGGCCATATTTGCTTAGTTATTGACAAGCAGACTTGAGGATGGCTTCTAACTTTATGTTTGCCCCTGTAGATACGTGGGGAACCTGTCAAGAGATGTGACCGAAGCACTCATCCTCCAGCTCTTCAGCCAGATTGGACCATGCAAAAACTGCAAAATGATAATGGATGTAAGAGCCTTCACTTGATGGTTTTCATGCTTTCAAGCCCATGGCCTTGGGCTGTATGTGCACATTTGGAATTCCACTGGAAATACAGCATGACCGTTCTAGTGAGGTGTAATAAGGCTGGAGATCACATTCATGTCCTTTTGCCATCATTTCTGCCTCGTGTCTGGTGTTAGATGTAAGGGTGGGTGGATATTGTGAGAAGGAATGGAGGTGTTCATACATGTGGGTGCCATAGAGGAGATTGAGAAAGTTCTTCGCCATACTTTAACCTTTCTAAAGCAGAACTGAAACCTCCTGGAGCATCATTAGTGCACTGACTGGGGCGTCTGTGTGAAGTAAGAAGGCCTGTCCTCTTTGAGCTGTTTAGATGTAATGAGTAAGGAGCTGAATAGAATAGTGAGAGGACAGTTGGAAGAGGGTTATATCAGTAATCCTTGGTTTGCGTCTTTTATCAGACAGCTGGAAATGATCCATACTGTTTTGTGGAGTTCTATGAGCACCGGCACGCGGCTGCAGCACTGGCTGCTATGAATGGCCGGAAGATAATGGGTAAGGTAAGCTGTCATGTCTACAGGGTGAGTTGGAGTTGAAAACCAGGCTGTCTCAGGTGGTGTGGGTGGCAGATCAGTGGGTGAAATACCACTTGAGACGAAGTGGATACACTGCAAATATTAGGCACTTGGTTTGGGCAGGGGGCTTAACGTGACATGACTGAGAACAAGCTGTTGAGATTGTTGGAGGAGGAACACAGAGGGAGGTGGGGATGTAGAACTAGAGACAGTGGGTGCAACAAGTGTTTTAGCTCTGCCAACTTTATCAGCATAATGTTCCCTCTCCCCCTGCAAAAAACCCACCCAGCCAAACCAAATCCCCAGAGCAGGCCTGCTTCCTGTCTTTGCTTTTAACCAGTGAAACACAGTTTGGCAGAACAAACCCTTTCCCAAGAAATACATCTTAAACTTGAGCTTCTACCCCAAACTTGCACAGGGTCTGGTGCCCCTGTAGCGTCAGAACAAAGTGCTGGGGGTATCTGAGCTTAGCTGGGATTTGCTTGATCTAACATGAGCAACTAATGCTTGCAGGAGGTTAAAGTCAACTGGGCGACGACCCCCAGCAGCCAGAAGAAAGATACCAGCAGTAAGTGTTACTTGTGCTTTGAGTACCTCTTTGATTCGTATGAGTAGTTTTTAAACATAAGCAGTAAGCATCATACAATTAGAAACAGTAATGTTTTGATCATAATCCTAAGATATTGTTGAATGTGTTTGTGTTAATAAACTTAAGAACAAATCTAATCTTTGTCATCAGGTAGTACCGTTGTCAGCACACAGCGTTCACAAGGTAATTGTGTCTTCTTAAACATAAAATGAAATGTCACCAGGGTATTCACTAGCCACCTGAAGCTCTGTATGGGGGTTTTGTTCCTTACGATTTTTTTTTGTTTTATGGAAAGACTTCCCTTTCATTTCCCTGTAGTATCAGAAAGCAATTTAGTGTCCACTGTTTCGCTCTGGTGCTAGTCTGTAGCAGTTGATTATGAGTGTAGTAGTTAAAGCCACAAAGCCCCTTATGCCCTGCTGTCGAGGCAGTGTAGCTGGCTCCCTGTGAGGTGTGTGCTCCTGCAGACAGGTTCTTCAGGAGTATCTAGACTTCCAAAATCGGGTTCCATTGCTCACAGCAAGCCTGGCCAGCATTGAATTTCCACAGGCCAGTGGGGCATACCTCCATCAGCACCCGAGCAGACTGGAGAGTTTTATACCTGCCATGGTGCAAAGAAGTCTGTGTATCACCAGCATAGTGTGTGCTATAAGGAAAACACCTTAGGTGAAGGACTTTAGTTTTGCTTTAGTGCATGTTTTTTATGGCTCTGATCCAAATTGAAGGGATCCCTGTTTCCATTCCCCTGCCTTCAGTCTTAGTTCGCTCGTGGATTCACAGCCATTGAATTCCCATGGTGTGTTGGCTGGGCAACCAAAACTGTTGGCTTTTGAGAACCCAGAATTCTTTTTAACAGCAAACTGTTGCAATGCAAGGTCATTTTTTGAGTCGTTCTTCATGACCTTTGGTGTTAACCTAGACATTGTGACCAGGTTCAAGATGCTCTGGAACAAGAGTTCCACCTGTCTTGAAACCTGAGTTTGAATTCCTAGTGATCTCCTGCCATGTCAAAGCATAACACTAGTGTATGGAGAGAAACATTCTCCTGTAGTCTTGACACATTCACTAAATAGTTTAAGACTAAATAATAGTTTAAGATTGTGCAGTAAATGCTGGCTTGTCTGAAAAGCAGTTTCTAAAATACAAGCCATAAATGCCACATGTTGCTGTAGTAGCCTTAAAATCCCTGCCTTTGTAGCACTGCCAAGCAAAGTATCTCTTAGGAACACCAGTAAATTCTGTTTCATAGTAAACTCTAGTCTTCATGTAGTTTTCAATCATAGCTGGGAAGTGTGTTCAGGTGCCACCTTCAAATATTAAAGTCCTTTTTTTTTGTCTCTTTTTTTCCCTAAAAGACCATTTCCACGTCTTTGTCGGAGACCTCAGCCCAGAAATTACAACCGAAGACATAAAAGCAGCTTTTGCACCGTTTGGAAGAATATCGTAAGTCGTTTCTTAGGGCAAATAAAGTAAAAGTTTATCTCTCCTAAATGGAGGCAGCCTTATGTTTCAGTAAGTAAAACAGGAGAGTTGGTGCAGTGCAGGATTCACCTCTTCATCCAGCGGCTTGAGTGTGAGCGGTCGGGCATGAGGCAGGGACCTGGAACCCAAAGCCTTTAGAGTAGCTTGTTCTGCTTTCCTAGAAAGGTTACATCCAACTTGCTTTGGTTTTATACTCCTTGCCTCATTTGGCAAAGCAACGCCAGAAAAAACTTGACTCCTAAACCTGGGGTTTGCATTCCCCTCTCGGTGATCGCATCAGCACCATGCTGGACAGTCCGTGACCGAGTCCGTGTGCACGTTCCCATCGTGTGAGGCTTTAGTTTCTTTGTTAGCCGTGGTGTGCCAGCCACCCGTAGCCAAGTTAAATTCCCAGTTCCTACAAAATGAACCTTTTTTAGCACCAGACTCGTTGGGGCACCCAGAGGCTGCAGTTAGAGCTGCCTCAAAGCGTTTGGCGCTGGGTCAGTGTAAGCCCTTGACCCGAAGGGCTCAGCCAAAGCCATGGGGCATCTCGGGTCAAGGCGCTGCCCTTGTCCCAGCGATGCAGAGTGATGGTGTAGCAAGTGAACGTGTTGCAAACGGGGAATGGTGCTCACAGGTCTCCACCTGCTAGTTTGTTGTACTGAGGGTGTAGCTGAGTAAGGAGCGGTTCGTTCATTCCATCCTCCAAACGTAAACCATTAATTTTCCTTGTAGTGTTGTCTGTACTGGACATTGAAGTTTCTTGATGGTGATGTAAGAGAACATAGAGTGCTTTGGAGTGTTGGGTAGTGAACATTTAATTGAAGTAAGTTTGTTTTTTGTTTGTCTTTTTTCCCCCTCAGAGTCCAGTGTATCACTCTTTTAATGCCAGCTTGATTTCCTCTTATGATAAGGTTTTGAAAACAAAATGTAATCTGAATGTGACTTGCTTCAGACAACTGTAATGCTTGACTGCACCTTTTGTAATTGTCATCTAGGAAGTGCAGAGGGTTGGACTCCTAAGGAGAGTCACTTTATCCTTTGGCCAAATGTGGTCTGGATGGAAGGGATGAGGGGCTCTTAAGTTGAGCTGAGCTGCTGGAATGACTGTGAGGGGGAGGCAGGAATAGGTGGCCGCGCCGGTGGGACTGCGGTGGAGCTCTGAGAGAGTTTCCCCTCCCTGAGTCAGTGCAGGGTGTCTGAGGTTCAGTGGACAGTCACCCTTAACAAATGACCCCCAAAAAATCCCAAACCCCCTCCTGAGCCCAAAGCAAATCTGAATGTTGGCTGGGGGAGTATAAAATCACAGTGAGCATCAGCCCATGGTCCAGATCTGTGGGGCTGTGGCTGTTGTCCCATCTTTTCTAGCAGAGCTTTTTGGACGCAGAGCTGTTGCTGCGTGCTGGTGACAGGGAAGGGCGAGCGATGCTCTTACTTATGGTGGGGCACTCGTGGCTTGCCCTGCCTCAACCTGACTCTCCAAAGTGAAACTCAAGTTCTTTTCCTCCCCCGAAAGCAGCAGATTAAGAATTAGCCCTGCAATGACTCCTTAGAACTCTTGTTCCAAAAGCGAGGGGTTAAATAAAGCCAAAGATTTTCTACTTGTTTAATTTTCACCAGGAGAAACATTGCTACTGTCTCTTAAGTGGTGGAATGAAGTTACTTGACTTCACCTGTTCTTCATCAGTGCCTGGTTTCTGGAAATGTGGTGCTAATGGAATATTTCCTGATTATTTTTCTTTTATTACTATTTTTGTTAACGTTGTTGGTGCTAAACTGAGCTTTTTGTTCTCTTAATGACACCGAGGTTGACCTACTGCATGATTAGCGCATAAGTACTGTTGGTAATTCTTTGCATCTGGGGTTTTTAATCACTGTAAAAGCACACTTTCATTGTGGTTTCCTTTTATGCTTGCTGTACGCATGTTTTCACTTGTTCTCAAGTCTTTATTTTCAAAGTTTTCAGTTGAGGGTAAGTAGAGATGAGTTTTTCCCCCCTCTCCCTCGATAGGCTCTTCAGAGCAAACCCATCTAAGATAAAGTGCCTCTTCTGGGGCAATTTGTAACATATTACCCAAATTCTAACCTAACCCAGGAAGGGGAGAAGAAAGAAGGGGAAAGGGGCAATGGGGATCTCGCAGAGAGAAGGGAAAGAACATTTCTGCTGTAGCTTTGGGTGAGGTATTTTCCTGGGGGCCTTCGGTGATGGTGTCAGCGCTATGGGCTGAATTAGACTTAAGATGCAGCATTTCCAGTTACCATAAGGCTTAAAAAAGCTTAAACCCGCCATCCTGAGCGTAACAAACCTCTTCATTGTGACTTTTCTTGCCAGTCTCTGAATGCTAAACATTGTGCACATGTTAACACTATAGTTTCTCTGCCCCACCCCTATTATTTTATACAGCCGTAAGTGACATTGCATGACTTTCTGACTGGTTTTATGTTGTTCCTGTTCTTTTCATGCCTGTCTGTGTGGGGCAAAGGAGGGGAGGAGAGGGTGGCCTGTGGTACACGAGAGGATCTCGCCCCTTGGCTAACGTGTCCACAGATTGCCTGAGAAACAGGGTAGAATGGCATTCCAGGAGTGGGGTTTAGCTCTTGTAGCTGGGTTCTCTTTTTAACTCAATCTCAAATAATAGGGCTCTGGTTATTTTGCAGAGTGTCTCTGAAGAATGGACAGAATTGCCATGGCTAACTACAAGCTACAGTTCACAGTGGACAAACGTTGTAGTTTTCTTATTTACTTTTATAAACTTTCAGTTATTTTTTTCTTTCACTTTTCTTTCTTTCCTTCTTGTTTGTTTTTTTCCCCACCCTTTTCCTCTCTCGTAGTTTCCGATCAGTCCTGTGTGATTGCTGTTGTACAAATGCGCTTTAAATGATGTGTGATATTGTAGTTTTCTCCTTTATTCTTTTGTTTTGTTCTTTTAAAGACATGAATGTTTCGGTGTTTTGAGTTTTTTCTTCAATAATTTCTGAAAATGTCAATCTCTCAAAATTTACAGCTGCCCACAGGCCAAAAAGGGGGTAACGAATTGACCCGAGAAAATTAAAGAATTCAGTTAACAGGCGACGTATGCCTTTTAATTCCTATCTTTTATTCATTTTTTCTATTTAATACTTTGAATTAGAAGGTAGAAATGTGTTGGCAAATGAATAGCGCATTTAAAGATTGCATGATTAAAGAGAGCCCTTGAGCTAATGTTAGTCAGCTACGTGCTCTAAAGTGATTCTTTGGAATAGCTGCTTTGACCGTGGTTTTGTGTCTTTAACAGTCTGTAAAAGCATTTTGAAGTGGGAGCCAACTGTTGTAAAGTACATTAGAGAAGCTCTTGATTTGCATGTTTACACGATTTAAGTTTAATTTTGCTACTACCTGCCAAAGCATTCGTAAAGTTCTGTTTAGAAAAGAAGCCTTTTTGCTTTGACTGTGTTGCTGGTGCAATAAACAGTTGACATTAGTAAAGGTGAAACGTGAAAATCAGGTGTAGGTGTGACTCAGGTTGTCGTTTTTAGGAGGCTCGGGTGGTGAAGGCGCTGAACTGGGTCTTGTTTCTGCTTTTTAGAGATGCACGTGTGGTTAAGGACATGGCAACGGGAAAATCTAAAGGATATGGCTTCGTGTCCTTCTTCAATAAATGGGTAAGCTGTGGCGTGGGCTCCAGGGTCCCCAAAAAGCAGACAGTGGTTTCCAGCAGCCACTATGGGGAGGGAGCGTTGCTGGTCCCAGTCCCTTCTCTTCTGTCTGCAAGGGGAATGCTTTTCTCTCTCTTTGTCACAACGCTCTACTGATGCTTTGATGTTTCTAAACACAAGGGACATCCAAATGGATGACAGAGTGACAATCAAGAGTATCTTAGGCCTCGCCATGTCTTTCACCCAGCTGAAATCTGCTTCTTTTGAAGTAGGATTTCTTCCAGCACATCACAGTTGTCAGGCAGGGTCATTAGTTTGGCTCTATCACAAAAGGAAGAGATGCCAACAACAGTGTTTCTTCTCTCCCTCTCATGGACAGGACGCAGAGAATGCGATTCAGCAGATGGGAGGTCAGTGGCTCGGTGGAAGGCAAATCAGAACGAACTGGGCAACGAGAAAACCTCCGGCTCCAAAGACTACATATGAATGTAGGTTCCCAGATCCTTTGTTCAGTTCTGGGCCCCTCACTGCAAGAGAGACATTGAGGTGCTGGAGCGGGGCCAGAGAAGGGCACCGGAGCTGGTGCAGGGCCTGGAGCACAAGTGTGATGAGGAAGGGCTGAGGGACCTGGGGGGTTTAGTGTGGAGAAGAGAAGGCTCAGGGGGGACCTTCTTGCTCTCTGCAAGTGCCTGACAGGAGGATGGAGCCAGGAGGGGGCTGGTCTCTGCTCCCAAGGGATGGAACAAGGGATGGGACAAGAGGAAACGGCCTCAAGCTGCCCCAGGGCAGGTTTAGCTGGAGCTGAGGAACAATTCCTTGCCCAGAGGGTGCTCAGGCATTGGAACAGGCTGCCCAGGGCAGGGCTGGAGTCACCAGGCCCTGGAAGTGTTCCCAAACCATGTAGCCAAGGCCCTCAGTGCCAGGGGTTAGTGGTGGCCTTGGCAGCGCTGGGGAGTGGTTGGCCTTGATGCTCTTAAAGCTCTTTTCCAACCTTGTTGATTCCATGATTCTCCCTTATTCATGTCTTTGCCCATAAGGAGGAAGAGAAAAGGGCGAGCTTCAGCCTTGGCGATTGTGGGAGGAGAGAAAGCTGAATACTAACATGACAATGGTGACTCTAATACCACTGCAGGGGGTTCTCGTGGCTCCTGCACACTTCCTTTCTCTCCAGAGCACCAGGACAGCTCTGGCTTTTTAACTCCACTCCCTTGCTTTTCGGGCTTGACACAAAGTGGGACTGCATCAAATTTCATGGGGGAGATCCTAAATTAGGTGTATGGGACCTACTTGATAAGTGTTGGCAGCTTGTGCTCCACATCTCGTGCCAGTTGGGGTTAGAATTCCTACATAATGTCTGTCGGATGCACTAATAAACTCTGTGAAATCTCTTTAAGCAAACACCAAACAACTGTCTTACGACGACGTGGTCAATCAGTCCAGCCCGAGCAACTGCACCGTGTACTGTGGAGGTGTCACCTCGGGCCTCACAGGTATCGTGGCTTCAAACTACAGTCACATGGAGCATGGTGAATAACATTACAAGTCACCTCACTTTGCTGCTCTGTTTCTTCCTGCTCCAGAGCAGCTGATGCGTCAGACCTTTTCTCCCTTCGGGCAGATCATGGAAATCCGAGTCTTCCCGGATAAAGGCTACTCCTTTGTACGGTAGGCTGTGGGTGGATGAAGGTGATGAAAGTGATGGTATCTCACATGCTTTTGGTGCTGTGGTGCATGGGTGGTGGGTGTGAAAGCTTCCGGGGCAGCAGCCTGATCTGAGGAGGGAGTTAGGGCTTGTGGCATCAGTAAGGAAAACCCCTTGGCCCAGCCTAAACTGGTGCAGAACCCTTCAGATATGAGATCTGTCTGTTCTCTGGGCATGATTTCACAGCAGAGGCAGACAGTCAAGCTTGAGAGTCTTTCCCCAAAGCATCCTCATCTCTGTTGTTGAGGCTCCAGATAATAAAAAACAATTGTAAACTGATTTACTCTCCTTGCTGCTGGATTTCCTGATTTGTTTAGGGATAATGATGACACTGAGGCAGGAAAAACACCACTGAGACAGAGAAAAAGGTCTCATGATCCCTCCCGCCTACCATGGAGGGGACAGGAGAAGGATTCTGTGTCCGGGCTAGTGTTCAACACGTCCCAGATCCAA